ATGTCGCCTGCTAACTCTTGTACATGAGTATGTTGACTGTATGTTGCGCTTACAGTATTATTGCAAGTCTATAGATATTTATAGATCATACATAAAGTTTAGTTTTGATATCTGTATTTTGTTCTCTTAATTGATAATACTCATACATGTCTTTTTAAATGCATGAAATTTATTTTTCGCAATTTTATTTTATTTTATTAATGCAACACTTTTCAGGGTCAACAGGATATGTACTGTAGCATGAAATAATGTAGCACTTGAGGATCAGGATTTGATGTTATTGTGAAAAGTCGGTTAGAAATGTCTGTGTAATTTTTACATCACTAGTGGCACAAAATGCAATTGCAAATTGTTTGAGTCGGCCTGAACTTATTTCATTAGTTTGCTGTAGGACTGTTTCTTGGTTGGACAAATGGATGGGGTGTTTTGGTCTTCCACTTCCGCAAAGTCATTTCAAAGGCAGAGAAAATTGGATGAATATTTTATTTTTATTTATTTTGTATGTTTGGTGCACATATGGATCACACATAAGATCAGGTGTGTGTATTAGGTGGTGTTATTTTAGCACTTATGTATTGTTATAGTATTATTAATATTTTGAATTTTTACATTTTCAGTTTATTTGTTTTAGTAGTAGTATTTTTTTTTTTTAAAGGTTTTATTTATATTCCAGATTCATTTATTTTACTACTTCAACTTAAAAATTTGAATCTGAAATAAGCTTCTAACTGAAATAAGTCTAAGTTGTTCATCTAATGCAGGGCTGTCCAAACTCGGTCCTGGAGGGCCGGTGTCCTGCAGAGTTTAGCTCCAACCCTAATTAAACACACCTGAACCAGCTAATCAAGCTCTTACTAGGCATATAAACTTCCAGTCAGGTGTGTTGAGGCAAGTTGGAGCTAAACTCTGCAGGACTCTGGCCCTCCAGGACCGAGTTTGGACAGCCCTGATCTAATGTTTTATTTCAGATTGATTTCAGTTAACAAAAACAATTTTTGTTTTAGTTAACAATAACAGCACTGGTCTTGGGAAAGTCAGTTGGATTGATTTAATGTTATCATTTTAAATGCCAGAATATGTTATGTACTGTGTATATAATCAAATAGTAAGAGCATGGAAGAATGGAGGATTGTCATTGTTTGAGGATTTCAATATGCTACCACCATTTATGCATTGTATTAGCTATCTTTACCAGGGCATGTCATCTTGTATGACTATAGATAACACAACAGAATGTCTGTTTTCCATATATCCATCCTCCTTTCATCAACAGCGCAGCTGCGTTTATTAGAAAGTATTACAGCTTGTGCTTGATTGTGGAGCTGACAGTCTGTCACTTATGTATTTGTCTAGTAAACAAAATGACAGAAAGCAGTCAAGTTCCAGTAAACACCTGAATCTGATTATGATTTCTGAACACATGGTGTTTGAAATGAATGTGTTTCATCAATGGTTGTTCAAGCTCGTATTGTAAAGTTGCCAGATGTTGCAGTGCACCTGTCCAAAAAAAAAAGGG